TTCCTTTTACAAAAATAAGTGCAAAAGTAAACCTTTTATTTTGATATGAGCAATTCTCACCCATGACTTGCATCGTTTGCTTCCTCATTTTGACTTAAACTTCCTAGAACAAGATTGTGATTTTCGTCGTGGATTATGGTCACGGTATTGTCCTTGGGGTAACATAAACTACAATAGACATGGCGATTTTGACTGGAATGTGAATATGAATTCAAAAAGTAAGAACGTGTTTTTACTGTGCCATACATGTGTGTTTTATTCATTATGATGAAACACTCATTTTATTTTACCTTGAATTGATTCCAAAAATAATATGACCAATTCTTATGTAAAATGTCCTATTTAAACACAGTTTTGATGAAAAATTATTTTCTAGGGGGAGCATATGTATACGTAAAATCACCAGTAAACGCAGGCAAGAAAAAGTCCAGGCTTGTCAGTCAATATTTTGATAATTCTATTAAGTGCTTAAAGTTCTCTTATCGTGTTACTGGAGCATATGATGAAATAGGATTGAAAATATACCAGCAAGCTGCACAAAAAAGCAAAATATTACGTTGGTCACAAAGCAATATAAAAACATCTGAATGGCTTGACGGAGAAGTTACGATGTCCTACATAAAGTCCAGCTCAAATTATAGGGTAAGATTTTAAAGATATTTTGGAAACTACAACTGAATTACTAAGTCTTATACTTGTTTTGCACATTACTGTGTTATCTTGTAATTTTTGAGCGACTTCTCCGTACTTTACATGTTTGTAGATGTAGATCGTCCAGGTTATTAGAGTACTGAGAAAGACTGTTGTTGCCATCGAAATGTCAGTCAACAACAACAACAACAGCGTCACAAACACGTGACGATACTCCCGGGTTCAAACCATTTACTTTCTCCTTACTTTCTTGTAGATAATCGTGGAAGGTGTTTTTGAGACATATAGCTACGGTGAAATTGATATTAGAAAATTGTCCTTAAAATCTGGATCGTGTTATAATGGTTAGTTTAAATTTAACATTTAGCTGTGCAAGGTATATACGAATATTCGTTAAAAAAATTCTCACGACACTCGTATGCTTCAGTATGTGTATGATATATGTACTAAAGTTTGCTTTTGACGTTCATGATCAGTTTCGAAATGAAATAAGTGTGATATTTTGGAGTAGTAGATTCAGAGTTAGTCAAAATAACTCATGGCTGCTTGATTTTAAATACAAAATTCCTTCAGAACAACACAATTTGTTTTAAATTTTTAAAGATTAAAATTTTAGTTACCAATGGAGCTGCCTCAAAGATTTTCAGAAAAATATTCAAAAATGAACTGACGTACCCTAAATCAGCGACTAATGTTTTAAAAAAGCTATGTCCAACATATGTAGCTAGATGACATATACCTAAACAACGCAATTTATTACTTTCCAAATGATTCATTTCCAGGTAGCAGTAAATCTGCAAAAAATATTGGTATCATTATTGGATCTGTTGGAGCTGCCCTAATACTATTCATTGTCGTAATCTTCCTCATTTATTATTTCTGCTACAAAAAATACAAGAGAAATTCTACTGCAAATCTCACTAAAGGTGTTATGAATCAAGTTTCTTCAAGCTATGAAGATACCACGACGACTGACTTACCACCACCATCTTTTGAAAGTGTGTGTAATTTACCACCAGCTTATACCACCACACCACTTGGTAAAGTAAATCTTGGTACAGTTCCATCCTTTTTACCTGGCAATCAACCGACAGACACCCAAATCTACCAAACAACAGCACAAATAGAAGCCAAATGATTTTTGCTACTCTTTCTGCTACTGAAAATTCAAGTCCTGACTTAAACATTCCAATTTATAGCACATCATTTATCATATAAAATTTGTATTTGTACTTCATTTGTCTGTATCTTTTTTAGATTGGAAATGTGATTTTAAATAAGTTAGTTGGTTTGTATATGACATTAGAAATAAAAGCATCAGCAATATACCATTTGTAAATGCATTAAATATTACAAAAGATGTCAAACTATTTTTCAATTCATGCATTGTTTCACGCATATTTCCGTTTTATGTTAATCATTTATTAAAAAATTATATATAGTTTCACGTGCTTGGATTGCATGAGATCAAACACGCGGAAATTTTTTATTCCGCCATGTTTGTATGAGGCCATCTTGATTATTTGGGGTTTTTAACTGTAACTTCTTCTTTCGCCTCAACAGTACTTGTCACACACCATTTCATGAAGACTTCCAAACTTTTTTCTCTTCTCTTATGCGGACGAACTATTCCTTCAGGAATGTCTTCTAATTTCTAAACTCAAAACTTCCCATAAACATACAGGGTAGCTCGGTCCAACTCCTCCTGCTTTAATCAAACTTATCGTATTACCTGTAGTTTTAAACGTTGAAAATTTCATATTGAATTTATTCATAGTCGTTTAATCTAATCCTTGTCGTGCAACGTTAAGGCTGATTTCCATTCAGTGCAAATTGTCGCACGATCGACTTTTTGCCATAACATTCTTTTTAATTATGTGCAGCAATGTGAAACTGTTACGGTCGAGAACTTACAATTGAAAAGAAAGTGATCGCAAAAAGACGATCGCGCGATAATTTGCACTGAATGGAAATCAGCCTTAACGCTGCATGACAAGGATCAGATTAAACGACTATGAATAAATTCAATATAACATTTTCAACACAGAGCGCCCAAAGCCCGCTCTGGAGGCTTGGGGGTGGGGTACTAAGTGCAAATATTTCTGATGTAAATTAAATGTTATAAGAAATTCTTGTCAATTACACAATTTTCATGTACAAAGTAGAAACTTGACAAGTTCGGTGACCGGTTTACTTGAGGTAAAATTGAAATGCGGCTGCTTTGGCTTGACTGATATATGTTTGTTAAAAATTGTGAATTACTTCCAAAACTAATATTCTTCACTTGCAATTCAGCCATGTTGGCGGTCTAATACAAAAGAATATTTTATCAGAGTTATTGTTGGCACCAGCCGGCTTGGGCGAGCAACATTGTTTGGCAAATCTCAAGAGAATGGTTGCAAGTCAAGAATACTCAGAGGCGCACGTTCCAAATGTATTATATGTTACGTAGATGTTAATATTTAATTATGGATCAGTGTGGAGTTCTGGCTGATCATAAATCATAAAAATTCAAAATATCGGCTGATTTCAAAGATAAACAAACAAGGACATATTTCAAGGACAAACTGCAGACTGCTGACGCATTTAGCAATGTTTGTTAAACCTTCAACCATGCACTAAACATATATAGGATGTTGTCATTCAAATTCTTTTGAATTTTTAATTACAACTATGAAAGCGTTGGCTGATACAATGTAACATAAGATGTAGCTTTGTGACCTTTTTACCTTGCAACCCAAGACCTGCGGCTTATGAATTTGTTATGAGAAAATATAAACGCAATTTTGAGGTTGCAATTGCGGGAAGTTATATTTTAGCTATGTAGTTAGGAAATTTAAGGAAAACACAGAACGGCCTTATCACAGTATAGCTGATATACAGTAGATGCACTCCACAGCTAGTCAATTTCTTTTTTTGACTATTTCTTCATCACTTAAAACTGTTGCTTTTTTTATTGGCTTCTACATGAACATATTGGTTTTTGACAAATTTTGCAATGCTGTCGCTCATTTTATTACTATATGTAATTAATGTTTTAGTACTTATCTATGAATGTGAATTAGATTAGCAGTAATATCTTCAATTTCTATCAAAATTTGTTTTCAAATTACCATGAAATGTTTTAAAGCCATATGATTTGGCAGTAAGTGCATGATTTTTTTGTGCACTAAATCTATATAGCAACTCTCAAGGTGATGTTGTTAACTGCGAATTAATTTAGCTTCGAGGAATGAAATTACTGGATTGATCTTTTTTTGTAACAAGAACATTTTAAAATGCTTTCTCCTATAAAATGAAGATGACTTTGTAAAATGTTGATACCTATTAAATAAAATCTTTTGAAATATTGTTAAATGACTTTTGTTAAGTGACAATTCTAAAAGACTACTACGAAAAGACGTCTTTTTAAATGTTTATATGTTTGAAATGAAGATACTACTGATATTTTATAAGGAAGATTTTTTGAAATAGATATTCTTAGGAAACTACGACTTTTTGAGAAGATGATACTTGTAATGACAAATTTTTTATGCCTCTTAGTTTAAGTCTCTTAGATTCAACCCATGAACATGCGACTAAACCTCCCTTGCTTTACAGCACATGTCATCATTATAAATTGTGAAAGTATACAATTGATATAACATATATTCTAAATACTTAATATTGTTGAAGTATTCTACGTTGTCATTGAAGGATTAGCAGTTGTTTGACAATTAGAAGGCAGGCATCTTTCTACAATCTCTAATTGCAGGGGCAGGTCTTATGGGAGATTTGATGTCAACAAGCTTACAGTTGAAATGCAGCTCACACATGTATATATGAATTACTGCAAAGTCAAATATTGAGAGAACTTTGTATCTTAATACATTTGCATTATAATCCCTTAGACGGTCGAAAAAGCCCATTGTTCTGTTGATGCTTATTTTTTTCTAGGGACACTGAATGGGAACTTGAGGGAAACACGTTGGACAAGACATAAGTGTATATAAAGAATTATATGTCTATCGTCGTATGGAAAGAAAGTAGAGTTTTTACTTCTTCCTAGCTACACAAAAACGCAGCCATCCAAATATTTTCGAAAAATTTAAAAAGAAAGAAATTCCTTAAATACGGTATTTTGAATGACAGGAATTGAAAAAGAATTGACGAATCAAAATGCAAATTTTATCAACAGATTTAACTATACAGGCAACTAATATTAAAGATATCCATCTTCAAATAGAACCACATATGCATTTATCAGTAAAATTAAACCATGTAGGGAATATAATTATTTTAAAGTTATCATCATCATCATCATACAGTCAGTCGTAAGCGACGAGGACTGTTCTATGGTTGGATTGAAGCTCTCCAGGCCGGTCTGTTATCAGCCAATTGCTTCCAGGTTGTCACGTTGATGTCTCTCCTCTTTAGATTTCGTTTCATGACATCTTTGAGTCTGAGTCGAGGTCGGCCTTGGTTTCGTTTCCCTTCTACTAGTTGGCTGTACAATAGCTGGCGTGGTAAACGAGATCTCTCCATACGATGGACATGACCAATCCATCTTAAATTCTTTTGAATCAGCATGTCAGCCATGTGTGGCAGGTCAGTCAGACGGAGAATCTTAGCATTTGCGATCTTGTCCCGCCATGATATCTTCAGAATGTCCCCAGTTGTCTCATCATATACGCACTCAGTTTCTTCACTTGAAGCCTGTAGATTGTCCATGCCTCTGCTCCATAAAGGTGTTGTCAGCACCACCGCCTGATAGACCTTGGCTTTAACTCTGGTCGAGACATGCTTATTTTGCCATAGCCGATCGTTTAGTTGACTGAACGCTGCACTCGCCCTTCCCATTCTGTTCCTCAGCTCCTTTTCAATCTTAGCATTGCTGGAGATTGTACTACCCAGGTAGTTGAAGTCTGTGGTCTGGACAAGAGCTGTCCGTCAATGGTGATTGCACAGGGTTTTGGGGAGGGTAGAAGCTTTACTGGCTGGTAGAGGCACTCAGTCTTTTGATGTTTATCTTGAGGCTAAACATAGCGGCAGCTTGTGCAAATTGTCCACCAATGCCTGCATCTGCTGCACTGTGAGCAACCAGAGCACAGTCGTCTGCAAAACATATCTCTGACAAACTGACGTGTTGTGCGTGTCTTAGCTTTGAAGTGTGAGGCGTTGAATAGGTTCCCATCATGTCTAGTCTGGATGTAGATACCTTCCCTTGTGTCCTCGAAGGCAACCTCCAGCATGGCAGCCAGGTAGAATGAGAACAGTGTCGGAGCCAGCACACACCCTTGCTTTACACCTGTTGAGACAGCGAATCCCTCAGAGCAGTCGCTCCCACAGTGACTTTAGCTTGCATTCCTTCGTGAAACGCTTTCACGAGATTGATAATCTTATCAGTACAGCCAAACTTTTCAGTACTGCCCACAAGCTCTAGGGACAGTGTCAAAGGCCTTAGTAAAGTCTATGAAAACTGCATAGAGGGCATGTTCTGTTCAGTGCATTTCTCCTGAACCTGTCGTAGGCTGAATATCATATCCATGGTACTCCGCCTACTCCGAAATCCACTCTGGGTCTCAGGAATTACTCTGGGACTTATCATTTCGTTCAGACGAGGGAGTATTCGAGCCATTACCTTCCAGCGATTGAGAGTAGAAAAATGCCGCGATAGTTGCTTTTACGACTGCCTTTTGAATATGGGACTATATTCGCGTCCTTCAATCTTGTGGAATCTTCTCTCCTATCCAGATATCTCCGATCACATCTAGCAACCTCTCTTTGAGTGTTGTACCACCATACTTCCATACTTCTGCGGGTATCCCACAACATCCAGGAGCTTTGCTTTCCTTAGTTGCTGCGATCGCCTTCAGAAGTTCATCCATCTTTGGGGGCTCATCCAGTACGTGGACTGTTGGACGTTGGGTGATGCTCGCAAGAGCAGCACTATCCACGTTTCAGGCAGATTTAACTTCGGTCGAGTGCTGAATCTTTCCAGCATCTTCTTTTGTCTGTCAACACAGTCTCTCCATCAAGAGCGAGCAGTTGGGCAGTACCTCTCTTTTGTGGGCCATATACTTCTCTAAGACCTCCATAGAAGGACTTCATGTCGTTTTCTGCTGCGGTGTGCTGCAGTTCCTCTGCTTTAGTCTGCCACCACTGAGACTTCTTCTGTCGGGTGTACTTCTGTAGTTTGCTGCGTGCTGATGCAAGGTTTGCCCTGGTAGACCTGGTGTTTACAGTCAGCTGTCTTTGCCTGGTTCCTCTCCTCTAGTAGTCTGTTTAGCTCCTCGTCTGTTTCGTCAAACCAGTCCTGGTGCTTGCGTTTCGGTTTGCCTGGATTTCTTTTGCTGTATTAAATACTGTATCCCTTAACGTCTCCCAC